TACGACTACTACGACTACGACGACTAGTGGCAGAACACCACCGCGACCAAGACTGACAGCAACCCGAAGACAAGGATGAGCGGCATTGCAGACTCGAACTGTAGACAAACGGCTGGTGCCTTGGGGTGTGCGCAATTGCAAAGCTCCACGCACACTTGGCACCTTCCGTACAGCAGCCGACAAACAGCACAAGGCAGCTGTTGAGAGATAATCTGATATGGAGTGGGGCTAGGTGTCAGTCCAGTAGTCGGCATTGCAACCCTACATATTCTTCACTTCTCTGTATCTTCTCTCCCTTGTCCGTAGAAGCATCGCTCTCGGAGCCTCCGAGACCAACCCGAACTCCACCAAGAGCTCTCCACTCTGGCCTGGGCATTACCGGCTTTTAAATGCTAGACTGCTAGACTTGAAAAGAAGAGCAGACACCCCAAAAACGACCGTCATGAGACTTCGAAGTTCTTGTCACAACTGCACACACGGCCCCACCTGACCCGGCACTGCGATCCTGAACATCCTACGTGATGTGTACTCTGCTCAGGCCAACTGCTAAACCCAAAACCCTACATCCTAAACCCTAAGCTCTGTAAGCGACCGGTGTGCTTTTCAGGTCCCGGCCTTGGATGCTGCCCCCGAGGCTCCAGACACGGAAGCTGTGCACCGCGCGCACCTGGCACGAACCGCCAACTGGTCTGCGTGATTATTTGTCCTGTGGCCCAAAGACCGTAGCTAAAACCTGTGAGCCTTTATCGTGACGTTCGATATAACTTGCTGTTACTGTATTCTGCCTGTTACGACGGAAGTCGCGCACTGGTATCCAGGTGGCTGGCGTCTTCGCCGGCAAGACTCCTGATCCTGTTGCAGTTCCTGGATTACGATGATTGCCTTGGTACTGCTGCTAGCCTGCGCAAGCAGTACTGACAGCAGCCTGGACCCGTCAGAGTCTCGTTGCAAATCACTATGTTACTATGTTACTATGTTCAAGCACAGAACACATCGCGCGATACCGCTTTAGGTGATTTCGGTTTTACACTGATTATTGCTGTGAGTCTGCCCGGCTGTCTGTGCGCGTAATGGCCGTGGAAAATCTTCTCTGCCTTGGCGACCCTGCACTATAACTCGAAAGTGCCTCCTCGGCGGGGGCAATGGCAGCCGCAAGCCGCTCGGAAAGATCACTCCGGTCGAAGCCCCACTCCACGATCTGGCAAGGGATCTGAACACACAAGCCAACAAACACAGACAGGCCGGCTAACGAACAAACGAACGCAAACATGGACAAACAGACCGACAAACAAATCTGCAAACGTGCCTACGTGCATCTGTATATGCATGCTTGCATGCATCCAAAAGGTGCACGTTCACATGAATGATCATGCATGCATGCTTGTACGCACACATACACCCGGCCTCGGTGCATGTGCGCACTTATGGCATACATATATGCATGCATGCCTGGGTGCAGGTGTACGTGGGTGCGTGAATACATGGGTACGTGCATACTGCATACATACATAGATACATACATACCTGCATATTATATATATATATATATACATGTATATACACACGTACACACATGCGTACATACATCATGCATGCATGCCTACATGCATACATGCGTGCATGCATGCATGCATGCATGCATGCATACATACATACACATGTGCCCTCATACTTGCGCCGGGCCACTTACCTACCTACCCCACCCTACCCACCTACCTGCCTATCTACCTACTTGTACTTCTACCGACCTGCCTACCGAAGCGTGGCACTTCAAAGACCAACGCAGTCTTATAATTAATATGCATGCGGGAGTTTGTGATACAAAGATACGGCCATTGCCAGGCACTGTCGAGACGCTCATGGTCCGCCCCTCTGAGCTGCCAACCCACTCGTTGACTGCATGCCGGGGTGTTTGCGTAGGAACCTGAAGGCCGGCACCTCGGTACTACTTTCTCAGCTTGGCTTCGATTGCTCAGACCTCGGACTGGCCGAGCCGAACGTCTGCTGGAGAATCTTGGGTCGTGAAGACACGTAGATGGGGGAGGACACACGACTCAGTCACGACAGTGCTGCCGTTCTCCCAAACCTCTGTTATCAGCAGCAGGTTTGCAGCAGGTTTGCTGTACACTTGGAGCTACCCCTTGCTACACACCCCGATTCCGTTTACAACGTGCTACCGTTCTGAAGTTATCGGCTCACGGCTGATCGCACGAGTATCTCAGGTTCAAAACAACAAGGCGGGTGTAGGGCCCAGTGGGTCTACTTCGGCCTAGGATGCAAAAGCCTGCAAATATCAAAAACCTGACAACAACCCTTGAAGGCAGCAAGATCTCTCGCATGGCAGCTCCCCATATGCTGACCAGCGGCGGAAGCCGTAGGTTTCATTGACCACCCACCCAGGTGTTGGATTCTCATCCGCCCCTGCCGTACAGTGCGTAACCTACTCTGGTAGCTGGTTTTGCACTGATTGGTCTTGATGGATCGTGCCGAACGCCGATCTTTGTTTGATGCAGGCAGCAGGACTTGGCGGCAGTTGCAGGCCCCATACGCTTCAGGGTCCAGACATTTGGGGGCCTAGGGTTTGGGTGTAGGTTTGCGGGTTGCGTCTCAAGCAACTCGCTCTTGCAACACTCTTCCCCTGATCCAACAAAACAGCCAGAGCGACCATAGAAAATCAGAGAGTTGAGGGGCGGAATGCGAGGTGCTGCAGGAGCTCGAATCACCTGGATCGACTCGCAGGCCAACATTTAACACGGTTGAACGGTTCCAGTCGCGGCATAATGCCATGGGCCTCCTGATGCCGGAAATTCTGGTCTAATTTTGGAGCCGTCTCGTTGCGAAAACCTGAAACTTTATTTGTCTGAGCGAATCAATGCCACGCGTGCAGGCACCCCGCACCACACACCTTTTCAACTTAGGCAAGCCACGGGAAGGTCAGCTGTGGCACCGGGGACTTCGGACTGCCTGGCAGACACGTTGCAATTCTTCAAGCGACTTAGTAACTTGCAAGCTCTGCGTTCAAGCCCATGTCAAAGCTTCATGAAACATGCCTTTCTCTGCCTACTGCCAGATATTGGGGCTTCTAGACTTATAGCCTCTAGCTGACAACTCTTAGCACCTTCGCTTTGCATGTCATACCTTCTGGGCTACCCTACCGATGAAAGCCACTGAGTATTTGCTATTTACCTGATGAAGTACCCGAGTACATTCGAAGGGCTACCTTCGGCTCAAAGACAGGACATGTTTGAGCCAACGCAAGGCCCCACGATACCTCGTTCATCATACTGGATCGGGAGCTTACATAATCATCAAGCCCGCATCTCTGCCCAAAGTAGATGGCAAGATCTCTACTAAAGATGATAGCAATTGCAAGAAGAAGAGCAGCACGGAGGACTGATACTCAAAATCGCAAAGTCGTCAAGACAACAA